TTTTTTAAGATAGAATCTTGCTCAGTTAGCCAGGCTGGAGTGCAGCAGTGTCGTCGGCTGAGTGCAAACTTCTGGCCTCAGTAAATCTCTTCTGCCTAACCTTCTGAGTAGCTGGGATTACAGACATGTGTCCCTGGCTGCCAGTTAATTTTGCATTCTTAGTAGAGACGGTGTTTCACCATGTTAGCCAGGCTGGTCTGAAACTCCTAGCCTTAGGTAATCAGCCCACCTTAGCCTCCAGAAGTGCTGGAATTACAGCCGATCATGGCTGGCCGAAAGTGAGACCTTAGTGACAGTGTTACAGATCTGGTGTCTGATGGCAGACCCACCCAGCACAGTTTCACTCAAGCAATTTATCCCCAGTGTGCAGGTCCCTCCTCTGGTTCCTCAAGTAGACTGAGTACTATGGAGTCACAATCTTCCCGGTGCTGCCATTGATTGTTGTGGAGGGGCTTGAGACATTTTTCTAGGGTTGTCTTACTGCATTTTTTTGCAGCCCACAATGCATTACCATCCTAGTCAGCTCAGGGTTCTTCAAGTATTTGACTTACGACCTAAGTAGCTGGGCAGGCTGATAAGAACAGACAAAGTGAGCAATTTGTAGGCTAGTGAACTTATCTTAGACTAATCTTCTTCTTTGCTGAAGTAGGGCAACTAAGAGAGGAGGTGGGGCTCCAAACATGCAGGCATTGCCTCTCCAAACAGGAGCCTAGTATATCTCATTTCTTCTGTACTGCTGAACTAAACAGGTTCAAGGTATTTTGTCTTAAAATGGACCACTGGCCAGGCACGGTGGCTCACGCCTGTAATCCCAGCACTTGGGAGGCCGAGGCGGGCAGATCATGAGGTCAGGAGATGGAGACCATCCTGGCTAACATGGTGAAACCCCGTCTCTACTAAAACTACAAAAATTAGCCGGGCGAGGTGGCGGGCGCCTGTAGTCCCAGCTACTCGGGAGGCTGAGGCAGGAGAATGGCAAGAACCCAGGAGGCGGAGCTTGCAGTGAGCCGAGATCATGCCACTGCACTGCAGCCTGGCGACAGGGCAAGACTCACTCAAAAAAAAAAAAAAAAAAAAAAAGAACCACTGTATACAATATTTCAATGCATTTCCTTCCAATTAATTTTGATATAAAAATACGATAAGGCACATTATGTACAACATACACAATTTTCTTTGTGAGAGTGGAGGTCACTGGGAGTTTCTTTTCATCTAATACATGACATAATTAGGGTTGTTTTTGAAGGACAGCATCCATCATCAACTGTAATGCAGAGGCATTTTCCTCCACACCAAAGTTTTTCTTGGATTAGGGCTTGTGCATTTACCAATCTAAATCAATCAAACATAAATTGGGGAAAAGCTCTTATCTTTCCACAGGTGTCCTCTGCTAGAATGTTTGGTCTTGACTTTGATTCAACCACTGTTTCACAACTAGTTTTCTGAAGTCAACAAGAGACTAACAGGTCTGTGGGAGGTGCAGCAGAATTGATCTGATCTCATAGCATCTTCTTTTTTCACTGCAGATTTTACCATCACGTGTACAGGGTACGAATCTCAGAACTCACTTTCTGAGAAACAAGTTTGCTGGCTTTAATATATGGGGTCTGTGAGAGCAAATGATTTTGCAAGTGTATAGCCATGAGCAGAGGGCTGTAGAAATGTGTGTGAACCTAGTGCATCAACCAGAGATTTGTGAGCCAGTGTGTGTCTTCACCTGGAGTAGGAGAAGTGAGGACTCCTAACTGACTTATCCTGATGTTGGTGGTTCTAAAGAGTGGATTCTGGAGAATCTCAGCAGGGAAGAGGATGCCTTTCCAGGTAGGTAACAAGACTTTCAGGTGGGATCTAATAAAACAGCGTTTCCAGGAGCCTTCATGTTATACCTGCTGCTTGGGGAGACTGAGGGTTTAGAAAGGCAACATACGCCGAGTTTGTTCTTTTCAGAGTTTAACGTCATCATGGTGAGAAGTACTATGTTTATGAGCTTTGAGTATCCTGTGTTTTCAATCACTCCTTTCTGCTTTATTATTTAAAGATGATTTTCTGAGAACACCTACTTTTCTGCCTCTGCCACTGCAAAATACCAGAGATTTTGGTTTGGGATGCAGTTCTGTCACAGGCAGTTACTTAATCCTAGAGACAGAATTCTTCTGTGGTGTGCCCAGATGCATAGGAGAAATGGATCTCACCATATGAACTGTTAGGTTCTTCATGGCACATTCATTTGTCCGCTCTGCTGTTTACCTCTGGTATCAAGACATCTCCCTGGGAGCAGAGGACAGAATGAAAATCACTCTGGGTTCATTGCAGAAGCTTCAGTATCTTGGAAATGGAGAGAGAAGCACAACCTTGAGCACAATGTCAGCATTCCATTTCTTCATTTGAATGAGAATATGCAGTTTTACCATCATTTGTGGAAGAGGCTCCTTTCCCATTGTGTATTCTTGGTACCTTTGTTGAAGATCAGCTGACTTTATGTATGCATTTAATTCTGGGCTCTATTCTATGTCTGTGATAATATGGGTGCCACTTGAGCTTAGAGTACACTATCTGAATTATCTTTTTTTTTTGTAGATTTCACTCTCAAGGAATGTCCATCCTCTAACACTATTCTTTTCAGTTACTAAGGTTATTTGGAGGCATATATAAATTATTTAAAGTCTTAGGATTATCTTTCCATTTCCTGTACAGATGGCTGTTAGCAGTTTCATAGCACTTGTGAGCCCAGAGATCACTTGTGTAGTATTGTGTGTTAGTCAGGTTTACTCTTCCTATCCATGAATACGGGATGCCTTTCAACTTCTTTGCACCTTCTTTACTTTCTAGAATCTTTATGTTGACAACTCATAAGGTAGATTTAACATGACTAATAAAAATTTGTGATTTTAAATATTTTTGGGTGGAGTCTTGCTTGTCATTAGACAGGGTGCAGTGACGGATTCTACTCACTGCAACCTCTACCTTGTAGGTTCATCTGATACTCCCGCTTAGTTTTCAGTAGCTGGGACTACAGGCATGTGCCATCACCCCCAGCTAATTTTATTTTAGTAGAGACATGGATTTACGATGTTGGCTAGAATGATCTCAATCTCTCGACCCCATGATCTGTCTATCTTGGCCTCCCCAAAGTGCTGAAATAACAGGTATGAGACCCCAATACCCGGCCAATTCAGGATTTTTTTATACCACTATTTTGTATATCTGAATTAAGTGGCATCAACAATTTTTTTTTTTTTTTAATGTTTAGTTAACCAAAAAAATCACCTCCTGTATGCATGGACATTTTTCCTGAATTCATCCATTTCTTTATTGGTATACATTCTCAGCTTCCAGTAAACAAATGTATATTTCAACCTGGAAACTTACCCTCATGGCAGAAAGTATCTGAGTCACGACTCTCAGCTTCCTGGTAGGCTGCGCAGGCTGTGTGAGGTTGGCCTGTTGGAATGAAGCCTGATCTTTAGGGACCCTCCTCAGGAGAGTGACAGAGCTGCTGGAAGCCGCTGATCACAGGGGCCTAACAGGCTTTGTGCACACATCCTGGTTCCAGAAGAAGACTTACAAAGAGGAAATCATGGTTTTAATTGTAGCACATTAATATTTAATTTTTTAAAATGATTTCTATGAAAAGGGTGTGTGCTTAATAGAATAGAGTAATTTGCAAAACTGAGTCCATTTCATTAATACACAGTTTTAATCAAGTAACAATTTTTTTAAACAGATGCTAAATGTAGTACCAGCGTAATTGGATCCTAGTGTACTGATAGGTCTTGAATATAAGCTTAAGCAAAAATGCTGTTTGTTTAGGAGAGTTTCAAAACATTTGAGAGGATAAAGGCACTCTTCCACTGACCTCAGCGTGCATTTTGTGTTTCATTTTGGGTTGACTCTTCTCTGTTGCTGCCTGATGCCTCTAGTGCAAGGTGAAGATCTCCATGTCTCAAGTGTCTTTCCTGCTCCCTTCTCTGCCCTGTTCCACTCAGGGAATAGCCCAGCATCAACTCAGTCCATGCCTTGCTAATCAACCACCTCCATACACCACATCCAGCAAAGCTCCTGATGACCACAGTCACCAACCAATTGAATGAACTGATCTTTCCTCAGTCCTTCCAGCTTGGCCTGGAGGACTCATGTGAGCTGCAGATGCTCACCACGACACAAAGATGAAGATGATGATGATGATGCTGATCGGACAGTGATGATGATGATGATGATGTCCATGGATCCCCTTTTTGGTCTTCTACAGCAATGTTGCTTTCCTGATTCCTTCACTTCTCAGTTAATTTTGATATGAAAATCTGGCACGTACACATGTACTATGTACCCTATTCTCTTTGTGGAGCTGGAATTCAGTAGAGTGTCTTCCCACCTTATATGTGGTAGAGTGCTTAAAATGACAGCATCCATTATCAACTGGAATGCTGAGGCATTTTCCACACCAGTTTTCCTCCTTGGATTAAGCATTGTGCATTTGCATATAAAATTAAAGGTAAATTCTGTGAATAAAGGTCTGGTTTTTCTATAGCTATCCTCTGTGGTAGTCTTTGGGGACTTTGACCTATGGCTCAATCGCTGTACCACCTTCTGGTTTTTTTATCGTTGTCCAGAGAATAACAGATCTATGTGAAGCGCACAGAATCTGATTCTCACGATGTTTTTATATAATTGCAGGGAAAACATCAAACACCCATGGCAGGTAGCATGGAAAGAACGGTATGGGTACTTATGAACATCTCACTTGAGGGAAAAACTTGCTAGCTTCGTGTATAGAAATTCGATTCTGGTTCCTGCTGGGAAACAGGATTGGGGTTCTCGTGAGCGGATTCTGCCAGTATAGAACTCTGGCCTAAGAAGTTGTAGGGAAGGTTTGTCAACCCAGAAGAAAGATGAGGGATCACGATGAAGCAGCATGGGGTGGGAGAATAGCCCATCATTCAACTTCAGGTAATGTAGGAGGAGTGGGCATTACCTCTTAATGACTTATCCTGTGTTTTTTCAAAGACTTGACGCTGAGAGTATAAGTGACGAGGAGACTCATCCAGGTAGGGGAACCATGTGCCAGAAAACCCAGTGGGAAAAGGTTGTTCGAGGAGCCTCCAGGTTATCCCTGCTGATTAGGAGGAGGGGCTGAAGGAGGGGGTATGAAATCAGAAAGAAAATGGAAATATGTGTGAGGTCTGTCTTGTTGTTCTCTGTGAGTTTTTAAGGCCATGGTAAGAACTGGTTCTATGGGGCTATGGGGTGCGTGGTTTATGAGAGACTCTCTTTGCAGTCCACCTGCTCTTTTCTGCCTGTGGAACATCACAACCTTTGGTTTGGATTACTCAGTAATTCTAGAGATTGTGCACAAGGGGTGCAGGCTTAAGCACTGTGTCATCTGTGATGAAGGAATTTCTTTTGAGATGGAGTTTCACTCTGTCACCATACTGGGGTGCAGTGATGGGCTCCCGCTCACAGCAACCTCCCCATCCCAGGTTCAAGTGATTCTCCTGCCTTAGCCTTCCAAGTAGCTGAGAGTACAGGCCTGTGCCACCATGCCCAGCTAATTTTTCAATTTTTATTTTTAGTAGAAACACGGTTTTACCATGGTGGCCCGGGTGGTCCAATCTCTTGACCTCGTGATCTTCCTACCTCGGCCTCCCATGTGCTGTAATAACAGGCATGAGCCACGTGCTCTGGCCAAATTTGTGATTTGTTATACGAATATTTTGTATGTCTGAAATGAATAGGCATCAATAAAAAAATTATGTAAGCTATAACTACAAAAATCACCCTGTACTCACGACAGTTTTTCAAGAATGTGTCTATTTTTATTGGTATACATTTCTCATTTCAGTAATTAATGTATTTGAACCTGGAAACTCATCCTCATGGTAGCAGTGCGTTCAGAGCCTGCCCTGGGCCTACTGTAGGCAGAACAGGGTCTGTGAGCTTGGCCCATTTGAATGAAGCCTGATACTTCTGGCATCTCCTCAGGGAGAGTGACACAGAGCTGCTGAAGCCTCTATGATTACAGGAGCCAGTAGGCTTTTCGCACACCATGGTTCCAAATAAAGATTCTACAAAGAGGAAATCATGACTATTGTTTTGTTTTATTTATTTATTTATTCGAGATGGAGCCTCACTCTGTCGCCCAGGCTGGAGTGCAGTGCTGCGATCTCGGCTCACTGCAAGCTCTGCCTCCCAGGTTCAAGCCATTCTTCCCTGGGCCTTGAGCCTCTCAAGCAGTTGGAACTTATAAGTGCCCGCTACCATGCCCGGCTAATTTTTTGTATTTTCAGTAGAGATGGATTTCACCATGCCAGGATAGTCTCGACCTCCTGACTTCGTGATCGCCTGCCTTGGCCCCCGGGAAGTGCTGGGATTACAGGCGTGAGCCACCGCACCTGGCCAATCATGACTATTTTTAATTGTAGCATTTTAAAATTTAACTTCTAAATTATGAAAAGAATGTGTGACTAGAATAATTCTGTACAATTGAATCCATTTTAATTGGGTCAAAGTAAGCTTTAATTAAGTAATAAATCCTTTAAAAGAGATGCTAAATGTAGTAGCAGCATAATTGGATCCTAGTGTACTGATATGGTCTTGAATATGTTAAGAAAATGTTGTTTGTTAGAAGAGTTTCAAGATATTTCAGAAGGAGGAAGGCACTCTTCCATTAACCCTTAGTGTGTGTTTTTGTTTCATTTTGGGTTGACTGTTTTGTGTTGCTGCATGATGCCTCTAGTACAAGGCCAACACCTCCATGTCTCATGTCTTTGTTGCTCCTCCTCTGCCATCTCCCTTCCACCCAGCATCAACTGAGTCCATGCTTGGCTAACCAGCTCCATACACCACATCCAGCAAAGCTCGGAATGACTCACAGTCACAAACAACCAGGGCACTGATCTTTTCTCTGTGTCCTTCCAGGTTCTTCTGAGGACAACCTGGTTTAGTGAGACCACCACCAAGTGAAGATGATGATGGCGAGGATGATGATGATGATGATGTCCAGGTAAGACCACCTTTCTTTGTCTTCTAAGGAAATGCTGGTTTTCTGATGTGAGAAACAAACTTACCAGTCCAAACCCAAAGAACAGACTCATGGAGCTGAAAAACAGCAAAGTGAGATTTTCTTTCCTTTTTTTTTTTTTTTTTTTTTTGAGACAGAGTCTCGCTCAACTGGCCAGGCTGGAGTGCAGTGGTGCAATCTCAACTCAGTGCAACCTCCATCTCCTGGCTTCAATCAATTCTCCTGCCTCAGCCTCCCGAGTAACTGGAATCACAAACATGTGTCCCCATGTCCTCATGCCCAGCTAATTTTTGTATTCTTAGTAGAGATGGGGTTTCACCATGTTGGCCAGGCTGGTCTGGAACCTGACTCGGTAATCTACCCACCTTGGCCTCCTGAAGTGCTGGGATTACAAGCATGAGCCACCGTGCCTGGCCAAAAGTGAGACTTTTAATGACAGTGTTGCAAGATCCAGTGCACTGCGCCTGGCCAAAAGTGAGACTTTTATTGATAGTGTTGCAAGATCCGGTGTCTGAGGGGCAGACACACCCAGCAGAGTTTCAATGAGCAATTTATCCCTAGTGTGCAGGTTCCCTCCCCTGGTTCCTCATAGGCTGAGTACTGGGTTACAGTTTTCCCTGGGTGTACTTACCCATTGTTGTTGGGGGATTTAGGTGTTTTTCCAGGATTCTCTTACTGCATTTTTTTGCAGCCCACAATGCATTATCATCCTAGTCAGCTCAGGGCTCTTCATAGCTGGGTAGGGTGATAAGAACAGACAAAGCGAGATACTTTGCAGGCTAGTAAATTTTCGTCTTAGACTAATTTTCTTTGATTCAAGTGAGGGCAATTAAGGGGGAGGAGGAGGGGCTCAACAAGCAGGTGCATTGCCTCCATCCAAGAAAGAACTCTATTTCTTCTGTCCTTTGCTGACCTAAACTGGTTCATGTATTTTGTCTAAAATGGGCCAGTGTATACATTATTTTTTTCACCCTATTTCTTTTCTTCTCAATTAATTTTGATATAGAAATATGACACGGCACATTATGTACAACATACACAATTCTCTGTGTGAGGATGATGTCAATGGGAGTTTCTTTCATCTAATACATGACACACTAGATGTTTTTGAAGGACTGTATCCATCATCAACTGATGCAGAGGCAGTTTCCTCTTACACCAGTTTTTCTCCTTGGATTAGGCCCGTGCATTTAGCAATCTACATCAACCTCACAAAGATAAATTCTGTGGGTAAAGCTCTTGTCTTTCCACACGTGTCCTTTATGCTAAAAATGTTTGGTCTTTGACCTTTGATTCAAATCCACTGTTTCACAAACTAGCTTTCTGAAGTCAAGAGACTAACAGGTCTGTGTAAGGGGTGCAGCAGAATTGGATCTGATCCTCATAGCATGTTCTTTTTCTCGCTGCAGATTTTACCATCACGTGTCCAGGGTATGTACCTTCAACTAAGTCACTTTCTGAGAAACAAATTTGCTGGCTTTCATATGTAGAAACCTTAATCTGGGTTCCTGTTAAAAAATATTGGGGGTGTGGTGAGAGCAAATGATTTTGCAAGGGTAACTATGGAGCAGAGGGGCTGTAGAAATGTGTGTGAACCCAGAGAATCAACAGGATTTTGTGTGAGCCAGTGTGTTCGCCTGGAGTAGGAGAAGCAATTTCCCTCACTGACTTATTCTGGTGTTGGTGGTTTCAAAGAGTGGACTTGGAGAATCTCAGCAGGGAAGAGGATGCCTCTGTGCAGTCAACAAGACTTCAGGTGGATCTTAATAAACAGCATTTCCAGCAACCTTCATGTTATACCTGCTGCTTAGGAGGCTGAGGGAGGGTGTAGAAAGAGAAAAGTAAATATAAGCTGAATTTGTTATTTTTCAGAGTTCACTGTCAGGTGAGAAGTAATGCTTTTGAGTATCCTGTATTTGATCACATCTTATTATTTAAAGGTGATTTTCTGAGAACATCTGTTTCTTTCTGCCTCTGCCACTGCAATATGTCAGAGCCTTTGATTTGGAACACAGTTCTGTCACAGGCAGTTACTTAATCCTGGAGACAGAATTCTTCTGCGGTGTGCCCAGATGCATAGGAGAAATGGATCTCACCTTATGAACTATTAGGCGCCCATGGCAGCACATTCATTTGTCTGTGCTTGCTGTTGACCTCTGGTATCAAGACATCTCCCTGGGAGCAGAGGACAGAATGAAAACTCACTCTGGGCTCACTATAAAAGCTCCAGTGTCTTGGAAATGGAGGGAGAAGCACAACCTTGAGCACACTGTCAGCATTCCATTTCTTCATTTGAATGAGAATATGCAGTTTTACCACCATTTGTGGAAGAGGCTTTCCTTTCCCCATTGTGTATTCTTGGTACCTTTGTTGAAGATCAGCTGACTTTATGTATGCATTTAATTCTGGGCTCTCTATTCTATGTCTGTGATACTTATGGGTGCCACCGAGCTAGGAGCACACTATCTGAATTTATCTTTTTTTTTTGTAGATTTCACTCTCATGAATGTCCATCCTCTAACACTATTCTTTTTCAGTTACCATGGTTATTTGAGGCATATATAAATTATTTAAAGTCTTAGGATTATCTTTTCCATTTCTGCACAGATGGCTGTTAGCAGTTTCATAGCACTTGTTGTGAGTCCGTAGATCACTTGTGTAGTATTGTGTGTTAGTCAGGTTTACTCTTCCTATCCATGAATACGGGATGCCTTTCAACTTCTTTGCACCTTCTTTACTTTCTAGAATCTTTATGTTGACAACTCATAAGGTAGATTTAACATGACTAATAAAAATTTGTGATTTTTAAATATTTTTTGGGTGGAGTCTTGCTCTGTCATTAGACAGGGTGCAGTGACGTGATCTCTACTCACTGCAACCTCTACCTTGTAGGTTCATCTGATACTCCTGCCTTAGCTCCCTAGTAGCTGGGACTACAGGCATGTGCCATCACCCCCAGCTAATTTTTTTATTTTTAGTAGAGACATGGATCACCCCCAGCTAATTTTTTTATTTTTAGTAGAGACATGGATTTACTATGTTGGCTAGAATGATCTCACCTCTCGACCCCATGATCTGCTGTTCATATCTCGGCCTCCAAAAGGCTGAAATAACAGGCATGAGACCCCACACACCCGCCAAATTTAGGATTTTTTTATACCACTTTTGTATATCGAATTAAGTGGTACCTAAATAATTTTTTTTTTTTTTTGGTGTTAGTTAATCCAAAGAAATTCTGTATGCACGGACATTTTTTCTGAATTCTATCCATTTATTGTACATTTCCTCATTTCATAAACAAAATGTATATTTCAACCTGGAAACTTACCCTCATGGCAGAAAGTATTCAGAGTCACGACTCTCAGCTTCCCTGGTGTAGGTTGCGCAGGCTGTGTGAGGTTGGCCTGTTGGAATGAAGCCTGATCTTTAGGGACCCTCCTCAGGGAGAGTGACACAGAGCTGCTGAAGCCGCTGATCACAGGGGCCCAATAGGTTTTGTGCACACATCCTGGTTCCAGAAGAAGACTTACAAAGAGGAAATCATGGCTAGTTTTAATTGTAGCACATTAATATTTAATTTTTAAAATGATTTCTATGAAAAAGGGTGTATGCTTAATAGAATAGAGTAATTTGGGTAAAATTGAGTCCATTTCATTAATACAATAGGCTTTTAATCAAGTAACAATTTTTTTAAACAGATGCTAAATGTAGTACCAGCGTAATTGGATCCTAGTGTACTGATAGGGTCTTGAATATGTTAAGAAAATGCTGTTTGTTTAGGAGAGTTTCAAAACATTTGAGAGGGAGGAAGGCACTCTTCCATTGACCCTTAGCGTGCATTTTAGTTTCATTTTGGGTTGACTCTTCTCTGTTGCTGCCTGATGCCTCTAGTGCAAGGTGAAGATCTCCATGTCTCATGTCTTTCCTGCTCCCCTTCTCTGCCCTGTTCCACTCAGGGGAATAGCCCAGCATCAACTCAGTCCATGCTTGTTAATCAACCACCTCCATACACCACATCCAGCAAAGCTCCCTGAGTGACTCACAGTCACCAACCACCAATGAACTGATCTTTCCTCTGTGTCCTTCCAGCTTGGCCTGAGGACCGCTTGTTTTTAAGATGCAAGCTCCCTGAGTGACTCACATGGGCTTCAACCACCAATGAAGATCTTTCCTCTGTGTCTCTCCAGCTGGCCTGAGGACCGCCAGAGCTTGGCATGCCCACCACGATACAAAGATGAAGATGAATGATGATGACATCCACAAGATCCCCTTTTGGCCCTCTACAGCAATGTTAAGCTTTCCTGATTCCCCACTTCAGTTAATTTTGATATGAATCTTGGCAATGTACATTATGTATAACAATCATTCTCTTGTGTGGAGCTGGAATTCAGTAGGAGTATGTTCCTCCCACCTTATATGGTAGAGTGTTTTTAAATGACAGCACCATTATCAACTGGAATGCTGAGGCATTCCTTCTCCACACCAGTTTTTCCTCTTGGATTAAGCATTGTGCATTTGGTAATAAAATTAAAGGTAAATTCTGTAGATTAAAGGTCTGGTTTTTTCTATAGCTATCCTCTGTGTGTAGTCTTTGGGACTTTAATTCATGCCCAATCGCCACCCACCTTCTGGTTTTATCTGTCCAGAGAATAACAGATCTATGTGAAGTTTGACAGCAGAATCTGATTCTTTGCGACATGTTTACTTTTATATAATTGCAGGGAACAGCTTGGAATGAAAAACGGTGTGTATGTACCATGAAAATATCTCACTTCCTGAGGGAAAAACTTGCTAGCTTCATGTGGAGTGAAATCTGATTCTGGGTTCCTGCTAAACAGGATTGGGGTTCTGGGGAAAGGATTCTGCCAGTATAGAACTTCCTGGCCCAAGAAGCTGTGTGGAGTTTGTCAACCCAGAAGAAAGATGAGGGATCACGATGAAGCAGCATGGGGTAGGGAGAATAGCCCATCATTCAGCTTCTGTAGGTAATGTAGGGAGGAGGCAGTCACTCTTCTCGCAACATTCTATCCTGTGTTTTTCCTTCTAAGACTCTAGACGCTGGAGAGGCGACGAGGAGACTCATCCAGGAGGGAACTATGTGCCAGGAAAACCCAGTGGGAAAAGGTTCCCAGGAGCTCCAGGTTATCCCTGCTGATTAGGAGGAGGCTGAAGGAGGGGCATGAAATCAGAAAGAAATGGAAATATGTGTGAGGTCTGTTGTCTTTGTTGTTCTCAGAGAGTTTCTTGGGCGCTGGTAAGAACTGTCTCCCTATGCATGTGGGGTGCCAGTTTATGAGAGACTTCCTTTGCAGTCCACCTGCCTTTCTTACCAGACACTACAACCTTAAGCCTGAATAGCTGCACTCCTAGACAGCACAAGGGGTGTAGGCTTAAGCACTGGGTGTCATCTGTGATGAAGGGAATTTCTTTATGAGATGGAGTTTCACTCTGTCACCATACTGGGGTGCAGTGATGGGCTCCCGCTCACAGCAACCTCCCCATCCCAGGTTCAAGTGATTCTCCTGCCTTAGCCTTCCAAGTAGCTGAGAGTACAGGCCTGTGCCACCATGCCCAGCTAATTTTTCAATTTTTATTTTTAGTAGAAACACGGTTTTACCATGGTGGCCCGGGTGGTCCAATCTCTTGACCTCGTGATCTTCCTACCTCGGCCTCCCATGTGCTGTAATAACAGGCATGAGCCACCGTGCCTGGCCAAATTTGTGATTTGTTATACGAATATTTTGTATGTCTGAATGAATAGGCATCAAATAAAAAAAAATTATGTAAGCTGGTTAACCAAAAAATCACCCCTGTACTCACGGACAGTTTTTCAAGAATGTGTTCATTTCTATTGGTATACATTTCCTCATTTCAGTAATTAATGTATATTTGAACCTGGAAACTCATCCTCATGGTAGAAAAGTGTTCAGAGTCATGTCTCTCAGCTTCATTGTAGGTAGAACAGGGTCTGTGAGCTTGGCCCATTTGAATGAAGCCTGATACTTCTGGCATCTCCTCAGGGAGAGTGACACAGAGCTGCTGAAGCCCCAGATTACAGGAGCCAGTAGGCTTTTCGCACACACCATGGTTCCAGAAGAAGACTTACAAAGAGGAAATCATGACTATTGTTTTGTTTTATTTATTTATTTATTCGAGATGGAGCCTCACTCTGTCGCCCAGGCTGGAGTGCAGTGCTGCGATCTCGGCTCACTGCAAGCTCTGCCTCCCAGGTTCAAGCCATTCTCTGCCTTAGCCTCGTAAGTATTGAACTATAAGTGCCCGGCTACCATGCCAAATGTTTTTGTATTTTCAGTAGAGATGGGATTTCACCATGCCAGGATAGTCTCGATCTCACAACCGTGATCGCCTGCCTTGGCCCCGAAAGTGCTGGGATTACAGGCGTGAGCAACGCACCTGGCCAATCATGACTATTTTTAATTGTAGCATTTTAAAATTTAACTTCTAAATTATGAAAAGAATGTGTGACTAATAGAATAATTTGGGTACAATTGAATCCATTTTACCAATAAAGTAAGCTTTTAATTAAGTAATAAATCCTTTAAAGAGATGCTAAATGTAGTAGCAACATAGTGGATCCTAGTGTACTGATATGGTCTTGAATATGTTAAGAAAATGTTGTTTGTTAGAAGAATTCAAGATATTTCCAGAAGGAGGAAGGCACTCTTCATTAACCCTTAGTGTGTGTTTTGTTTCATTTTGGGTTGACTGTTTTGTGTTGCTACATGATGCCTCAGTACAAGGCCAACACCTCCATGTCTCATGTCTTTGCTGCTCCCTCCTCCCTGCCATCTCCCTTCCACCCAGCATCAACTGAGTCCATGCTTGTTAACCAGCTCCATACACCACATCCAGCAAAGCTGGAATGACTCACAGTCAAACAACCCAGAGGCACTGATCTTTTCTCTGTGTCCTTCCAGGTTCTTCTGAGGACAACCTGGGTTTAGTGAGACCACCACCAAGTGAAGATGATGATTGTGATGATGATGATGATGATGATGTCCAGTAAGACCACCTTTCTTTGTCTTCTAAGGAAATCTTTGGTTTTCTGATGTGAGAAACAAACTTACCAGTCAAACCCAAAAAGAACAGACTCATGGAGCTGAAAAACAGCAAAGTGAGATTTTCTTTCCTTTTTTTTTTTTTTTGAGACAGAGTCGCTCAACTGGCCAGACAAGTGCAGTGGTGCAATCTCAGCTCAGTGCAACCTCCATCTCCTGGCTTCAGTAAATTCTCCTGCCTCAGCCTCCCGAGTAGCTGGAATCACAACATGTGTTCCCATGTCCCCATGCCCAGCTAATTTTTGTATTTTTAGTAGAGATAGGGTTTCACCATGTTGGCCAGGCTGGTCTGGAACTCCTGACCTCAGGTAATCTACCCACCTTGGCCTCCTGAAGTGCTGGGATGACAAGCATGAGCCACCGTGCCTGGCCAAGTGAGACTTTTAATGTTACCAAGATCCAGTGCACTGCACCTGGCCAAAAGTGAGACTTTTATTGATAGTGTTGCAAGATCTGGTGTCTGAGGGCAGGGCTTAGCCACACACCAGCAGAGTTTCAATAGCATTTATCCCCTAGTGCAGTCCCTCCCTGGTTCACTGTAGGCTGATACTGTGGGGTTACAGTTTTCCTGGGTGTAGCCTACTCATTGTTAGAGTTGGGGTGTTTTCAAGTTCTCTTACTGCATTTTTGCAGCCCACAGTATTATCATCCTAGTCAGCTCAGGGCTCTTCAAGTAGCTGGGTAGGGTGGTCACAGAACAGACAAAGTGAGATGCTTTTGCAGGCTAGTAAATTTTTAAGTCTTAGACTAATTTTCTTTGATTCAAGTGAGGAGCAACTAAGTGGGGAGGAGGAGGGGCCCAGCAAATGAGCATTGCCCATCCAAGAAAAAGACCTATTTCTTCTGTCCTTTGCTGACCTAAACTGGTTCAAGGTATTTTGTCTTAAAATGAGCCAGTGCTTATACATTATATTTTCACCCTATTTCTTTTCTTCTCAATTAATTTTGATATAGAAATATGACACGGCACATTATGTACAACATACACAATTCTCTGTGTGAGGATGGATGTCAGTGGGAGTTTCTTTTCATCTAATACATGACACACTAGGATGTTTTTGAAGGACTGCATCCATCATCAACTGATGCAGAGGCAGTTTCCCTCCACACAGTTTTCTCCTTGGATTAGGCCCTGTGCATTTAGCAATCTACATCAACCTCAAAGATAAATTCTGTGGGGAAAAGCTCTTGTCTTTTCCACACGTATCCCTTTATGCTAAAATGTTTGGTCTTTGACCTTTGATTGCTAACCCACTGTTTCACAACTAGTTTTCTGAAGTCATCAAGAGACTAACAGGTCTGTGTAAGTGCAGCAGATTGATCTGATCCTCATAGCATATTCTTTTCTCGTTGCAGATTTTACCATCACGTGTCCAGAGCATATTACCTTCAGCTAAGTCACTTTCTGAAACAAATTTGCACAGCTCTTATGTAGAAACCTTGAATCACGGGTTCCTGTTAAAAATGTTAGGTGTGGTGAGAGCAAATGATTTTGCAAGCGGGTAACTATGAGCAGAGGGGCTGTAGAAATGTGTGTGAACCCAGAGAATCAACAGGAGATTTTGTGTGAGCCAGTGTGTCTTCGCCTGGAGTAGGAGAAGTGCACCTCTCACTGACTTATTCTGGTGTTGGTGGTTCTAAAGAGTGGATTCTGGAGAATCTCAGCAGGGAAGAGGATGCCTCTCCAGGTAGTCAACAAGACTTCAGGTGGGATCTAATAAAACAGCATTTCAGCAACACTTCATGTTATACCTGCTGCTTAGGAGGCTGAGGGAGGTGTGCAAAGAAAGAGAAAAAGTAAATATAAGCTGAATTTGTTCTTTTCAGAGTTCAATGTCATCAGGGTGAGAAGTACTACGTTTTTGAGTATCCTGTGATTTCGATCACATCTTATTATTTCAAAGGTGATTTTCTGAGAACACCTGCTCTTTCTGCCTCTGCCACTTGCAATATGTCAAACCTTTGATTTGGAACACAGTTCTGTCACAGGCAGTTACTTAATCCTGGAGCCAAGAATTCTTCTGCGGTGTGCCCAGATGCAT